AAAAAAACAAAAAAAAAAAAAAAAAAAAAAAAAAGAACAACAGAGGGCCGGGGATTTAGCTCAGCAGTTCGGCAGCCTGCCTTGCAAGCACAAGGACCTGAGTTCAATCCCTGGTACCAAAAATTAAAAAAAAAAATAAAAATAATAGTAACAGACATCCAATATATGAAATATCAAATACCCATTAAATGTCTAACTGAATAGTTTATGAGATAAAGACGTCTTTGAGTTACTTACTCTGAAAAATAATCCATAAACTGCTGAGGATTTTCTGAAGCCAGCAATAGTTGTCTCTGATGAGATTCTGACATACAATGACACTTAAAGCCATTCTACAGAAAACATAAAAGTAGTTAAATTATGATTTATAGGACTTTGAATAAAAGTATTTAATTTAAAAATCTGCTCTTTAATGATAAACTAAAAATCTAGTCACTAGCAACCACCAACCTCTAGTTTTTTATTTATACTTTTTATGAAGTTGCATTTTGCAAATCTGGTAATCAAAGAACAATCGCTGAGATTGAAAAATAGTGCTGCATAAAACCAGATGTTAATAACAAACATTATTAGGCACAGTAACGGAAGAATCACTTTATATTTTGGACTCATTTAACCTATTCTTATTGAGCACCTACTTCATAGAGTGTTATGCACATGCTTCTGTTTGGGGTTTTTGTTGATTTGTTCTGGAACAAACAGGAGGATGCACCACTCCTTTCTAGCAGGTCCAAGGTGGACCTTGCGCCCGACCTTGAGCTCTGGGAGTCTGTCTCCAACATATTCAGAGGTCAGCAGCCTGAGTTCTAGGTGCAGACTGAAAATCTCACGTACAAGCCGCTGGAGCTGGTGCAGTCACGCTGGTGTTTCAGCTGACACCAGCTGTCACTCTAGTTACGACAGGAAAGTACTTCTAACGAGGTGTGATAGTCTTAAACAAATGTGGTGTGGTAAAAATGAACACATCTGGCCACTCCACAGAAAGGCATGGACCTTCAATGAGAGAAGAACCTTAGGAACAGTGTGTGACAAGTTTCAACTTGTTAGGACAGTCAGTCTGATCTATGGTGCAGAGAAGATGTGTTTTTGAAAAGTGCCATAAATGATGGGTCACAAACAACACATTAACATGATATTTTGTTTCAAACTAAAAAACTGTGCAAAAGAATCACATGAAATGTTCAAATTAGTTTATGGTGATCTGCAGTGACCAAGAAAATGGTTTACAAGTGCTCTGAGTGACTCTGTAAGTGTTGTGAATCTGTTAACGATGGAGAGATCGGGAGGTCCTTCAACATCAAAAACCCAAGAGAATGCTGAGAGAGTAAACAAGACGATTGGATGAAATGAACGACTGACAATTAGGAACATTTCTGGAGGATCTGCACAAAAGGTACCGTCCAAAGCATTTTAACGACAGGTCTGAACATGTGCTGAGTGAGTGTGAAACGTGTGCGTACACAGCCATAGGAGTTAGAGCAGGAGGGCATGACTGGTGGCGACAGGGTCATTTGGCAGGTGCTTCAGGGACCTCTTTCCCTTAACTCTTACACCTCTGAGGTAGGTGCTGTTCTCCCACGTTAGGAGATGAAGAAAAGGTTAGGTGGGAGTACAGTTCCTCTACCAATGAGTAGTTCCGAACAAGGAGCCTTGCGCATGTAACTGTGGGTATCTGAGTAATTTCATCCCTTGGTGTCCCTGAGTAAGAGTAAAAAAATATTTCAACAGATTAGGCCAGTTTAGGGGGAGAAGAACCACAGAGTGGTTAGGAACAGAAGCTCTTCAGAGTATTTAATTGCATTGAACCTACTTTCCCAAAACTCAGCACAAAAGAAGCCTCTGTTGGCATATGAAATTTATGAATGTGTGTAAAACAATAAAAGATGAAAGGCATTTAGAGGACATAATGATATTAGGCTATAAGGACATGTAAGTATTGAAGTGATAGTCTTATGTGGGAAGAAACTGAGTATGGCAAGATGCCCACTAAAGTTCATTCCTTGTACTCAGTCTTCATGTCTAGCAATTTAGGATTTTTTTTTATTAGATTGTATGCCAATTACAAATAATTCATTTTTCCAGGAACTTTAAATGTTTTATATATATATAT